TCTAGCGATGTAAAAGAAACAACTGTGTCTTCCTGTCTTCTGTACAGTTTTATAACACTGCATTTTTGGAAAACAAAGAATGGCCTCCTCTCTTCTCAATGTTTAAATTTATATAAATTTAGCAGACAACTCAAAACTCACCTGATGATGTGTAGCTAGCTGCAGCATTTGTGTCTATGGGATGCATTTTCACTTCTGCATATGTACAACCTAAAACAGGACAAAACCAACAGAGAGAGCTGAGCAATATCATAAATTGAACAAAAATGACTGAAATTATGAGAAATGCTAAAGGCATGACAGCAACTGATTTATGTGACTGTGTTTAATTGTGCCCAAATAATATTTTTGTCCTTTGCGTTCATACCTTAGAGGATTTGCTATAGGCAGAAGCAGACCTGCCTTATTCTCAGTGCAGACAATAACAGGAGACATGGGCATGTGCCCATGTATTTTAAATCTAAACAGAAAATGGAGAAAAATGGCTAAGGCTGCCTCATCGTCTTAGTGAAATCACATCAGCATTAGTGGTGAGAATGGCTACATCAGTGAAGCAAAATTGAAAACTGCATATCAGGCTAAATTTTTAGAGATCACTAGTTAATGACAAGACGGTGAGAAAAGTGCAAACTATTCTAAGGTCTGCAGATAAGAAATACAAGAGTACAGAAGAAAGCATGTGGGTGAGAAAGGAAGGAAGGACAAGGACACATTAGAAGGATGTAGAAGTAAGAAATACAAAGTTGCAATTTTATAAAACCTTCAAAACCATCCTGATACAGAGCACTGAGCCCCTTTCTTTCTATCATCACACAGTGTTAATGTCTTCTGTGAGTTTAAGTGCCTTCTTATGGTTTATGTAATTAAATTACTTAAAACAGTTAATTTTCTTCCTTTGTGAACGTGGCATTAGATCCAGGGAATTCATGATCAAAGAGAAAATAACAAACTGCAAGAAAAAGTCATGGAGACAGAAGCCTGTGTTTGAGATCTTCTTTACAAGATCTGTGCAATCACTGGGAAATACTGTGCATAAATTAAGTGAATGCCTGGAAGAAAAGAGTTGAGAGGCACAAGTAGAGAAACATAAAAATGCTATTGAAAGTGTATAAAAACTATAGGTAGGAGTATATGGATGAGGTTATGAGGATAATGGAACATTTATTCAGGTGGCATCTATTGCGAGTGCCTGTCAATTTAGCTGTGAAGGAATGTGTTGAAAGAGATAATAGAAATGCTCTTTCCTGGAGCATTAGAAACTCCAGCCATCTGAACACAAATGGGAAGGGATCACATTTGATGCAAAAGACAAGCACAGGATGGCAAGAAATACAGACTATCACTTCTGTCCATGAGATAACAAAGTTAAAAAAGAAAGGACAGAAAAAAAGTGGAACAAAATGCATGAAGCTTTCTGTTTTAGGAAGCACTTTTGTGCCAATGTAGCAAAACCAGCGCAAAAGTTAATACTTCTGCAATAACTCTTAGAGCCTTCAAGAAAGAAAAATTTTAGCTTAGAATTGTGCAAAGACATTTATACTACAACAAAACAAATCTGTCCATGAAATATTTAGTGCTTGATTTATTAAAAAGTAGCTTGTACAGACAAAGGCAGGAGGAATTAAAACAGAAGCAATGCCTACCACACTCAGGAAGAAGAAACAGGCTACGGATGAAACTGCTCCGAACACCGGAACATCAGGCACTCAATCTCCTGATCACTTCGCTGCAGGAATCAGACTCTGCTGCCTGAGAACATGCCTAGTTCAGGGCCAATTGGCCTTCAGCTGTGGAATCATCTCTTACACTGCTAGAAACTACTCTTGATCTCAAACCAGAAACTCTCAAAATACAGAGCTTCTAACAATCCCATTTTTTTGATTGAAAAACTACACAGACACCCCACCTGCACATTTTTCACAGCACTACCCCTCACATTTCCTTTGTCCCCTTTGGGGCTTTGGTGCTCCATGGCAGTCTTTCAAGATGTGTGTTAGAGAGGCTGAAGAATACAAAAAAAGCTCAGCGCAGATCAGTTGACCTACCTTGGACCTCAGTGACCTTTTGTTGTCTGGGACTGGTTGCCTGAGCCAAGTTCAAATCAGCATAAATGATATTTTCTGACATTTTTGCTCCCCTTTCTCCCTTTTTCGTCTCACTGCTGTTTCTAAAATGATACTCTGGACTGAGAGTGACTCATAGCTCCCTCCCCTCTCTAACTTTCAGGAGGAAGTTCTTTTTTCTGTCATGCAGAACTCATCATGAGAATTAAAGCTTACTTCTAATTGATCTTTTTATAGTAGTGGGTTAAATGGAAGATCCGAGCCTTGACATTGTCACCTTTGTTGGGAAGTGGTTGTGGCATTAGCACTGATTTTCCAAATCTTGACACTCTGCTTCCCCTCCTCCCTTTTGTATTGTGAAAAGACAAGTTTTATTGCCTGAAGTGAAAATGAGAGACTTGGAAGTGAGCCCTAGGAAGCAGAGTGAAGCTCTCAGGATGGACCTACAGCACATCTTGGGCAGCATCCCCACATGATCCAGAAGGCAATGCTCTCAAAAACCAACACCTGGAAGCGTGAGACAGATTTGCCTGTGATCCACAGGGAAATGTACTCGACAGTGCTGACACAGGGATGACCCTGCCACACTTTGGGTCTCTATCACATGTCTGCAGCTCTTCTAAACCAGATCTAAGCTGACTTGCTGTGTCCTGAGGAACCTGGTTTTTGTGCAACTCAGAAGTTGCTCTGTACTTCTGTTGGTGGCAAATGGGGGTTCATAAAGTGGAACTTGTCCAGCGTGTTCCAGGAAGGGTGTTGAATATGCAAAGGCAGCAGCTAGGATAGGTTAGTCTGAACAAAACAAGCCCTAGGCTTTCCAGATTTTTGATTGCCTCACGACTCATACTTTCACAGAGCAGGAGGGGGGGCAGCTACGTGGATGTTGTGCTGCAAATCATGGTTAGAGGAGCTTGGGCGCCATTGCTCCTGACCCTGACAAACTCCCACCCACTACTCTGGTGGAGCTGTGGGGCTCCTAGCAGCTCTCTCAGATCTCCTTGAGGTTACCCTTGTCTGGGACCCTGCCCAGCCATGCACCACAGTGAAGGGATCTGCTGGGTGTCCTGCCAGCACCAGAGGTGCTCGCCTTGGTGACCAGGAGGCAACTTCCTTAGCCCAGTGAGGAAGGCATCCACTCGGTGTAGGAAGTTACCTGCCTGATGCCTCTGGTTCGTGATGTTTGCTGTTAAAGTCTGATTGTGTTTTTACCTGGGTACTAATTGCTGTGAACATAAGGAGAGACTCTGCCTTGGGGAATGTGGGGAGGGAATTTGTTGAAAAGTACCAGCAGGAAATTTGTAGTTTGGAAGAGTCAGGACGGCAACAAAGAACATAACTATCATCAGATTTACTCTTCTAATTCTCATATGTACATTGGGGGAAAAAAGGAAGAGAACAGCAAATGGTTTAGCTTTTCTAAAACTGGAAATCATAGGCTTGTTATATGACGGTGTATAAGGTCTATTTTTCAGTAAACACCAATTCATTGCCTCATTTTTACACGATCATCAGCAGGTAAATTCTCTGATATGCGGCCATTGCTGGATATGGCAGTACAAGTTTTAGAATCAATCCTATTATTTAATAATTATAGTTATTGTTATAGCTACTTGTTATACTATTACAGTTATTAATGTAGTTTCCTACACTGATCTAAGTACAGGGAGTACGTAGATAGCTTGAGACTAGATAATGATTACTGAAATGCCAGTGAGCAAATATATAGTAGTCTAGATTTAATAATTAAGCATTGAAGAGATGACTGTGTCCCTGTCTTTACTGTTGTATAGTACAGTTCTTTTCTGATTTAGAACAAACTATAGTAGAATACATTTTTTAATGAAAAACAAAATAAATTCCCATTGAACCTATTTCTTCCAAATTTTTCTGTTATCTAGGTGTCCTTCCATGTCCAGGGCCATCAGATCTGGAACACCCTATTACCAGGTGACAATTACAGAGACTTCTTCAGTGGGCCAGTGGTTTGTTCTGGTGTTCTGCCCCTCATTTCCCATGCTCGGAGGCCAAGACAACTTAAGTAAACACCAGCTGTGTGACAAAAAAGAAGAGGAAGTGAAGCAGTTCCTTTGCTGGTTGGTGACTCAGAAGACCATACTGCGGTCAAACGAAGGTTTGCAGTGGCCCTCAGACCTGATGGTGAGAGGTGTACAGAAATATTGAGACAGGCAGCCCACTCTGGAATAGTAATGTTTCTGATCAGACCACTCTCATTTCTCTGGAGTTCCTAGGGATGGAAGGAAAGAGGGAAAAACATGAACGGTTTCTAAGTTGGGAGCCGTAAGACTCTGGCATAGCACTGCAAGGTTTGGACGTGTTTTAGTCAGTTTTCCTGCAGTCTGGATGTGTAACTAGCCATCTCAGAGAAAGTGATGACATCTGTCTCCACTCTGACAGCAGAGAAGCTCTGGAATTTCTAAATTTAATATATTTTTTCCCTAAGGTACCTCTAAGATTAGTAGGTACCAGACTGATGCACTGAACTGTAGTCAAGCAAATAAGAGCCAAGAAATTATGTTCCGCTTCTGTGGATTTTCTGGATCATCCTAACTCACTTTGTATGCACATTGTCTGAGGGACCTTTAGCACTACCTTGTTGCTGTTTCTGTCAAAAATGCCCTGCCGTGGCATTACCCTCTAGGCCCCGTTTTATTGCCAAAACACAAGAGTGATTTTTTCTCTTTAGAGAAGAATTTTTAGCTTTTTTAGTTCAAAGTTACATGATGGCATGCAGACTTGCAACTGCAGGCTACGGAACAGGTTTTCATGATTCAGGTAAACCCTTTCACTTAAGCTTTGAACAGCTGGTATTACCCAAGATGATGTGTGTTGTCTTCCCCTTTCAGATGAGTCTAAGACTCAGAACGTCAAAGCCAAGTCCATTTCCCCACCCACAAATTTCTCAGAAGAGGGACTTACATTAATGATTTTAATTATGACTACTTGATCTGCCTCCTTGGCTGCTTTCTCTGCAATTTTGACAGCGTCATTGTCCCAGTCAACGAAATTCATGGCCATTATTCCTTCCACTGCACTGGGGAAAGAATAAGTGGCAACGGTGAGGTGAAGAAAAACAATAAGAAAATAAGTAAGGAGGGGGAAAAAAAAAGTAAAGGAGAAGAGTTAAAGTGTCACAGTTAATAGATTCCTGCAACAAGGGAGTTCAACTTGACAGATCCAGTCATGTCTCTTTACAATCAGCAACATTTCATTTTCATTACCTTTTCCATTTGCCATTTTTCATAGCTACACTTTGCTCTACTACTTCCAGAAACATGTTGACTCAGGACTCACTCCGAGGCCTCTTGCTTGAATATGTGTCCAGCATACGAAACGTCAGGGTAGCCCATACAACTTGACATGTTTTTACGAGGGTAGTAGAAGAGGAATGTCAGACACATCTCATTCATGGTGTTTAGCCCACCCTGCAAAGACACAAGGATGACTCAGAGGTCTGCTGAGACAATGAAGAGACTGTTTCTCCTCAGGAAAGCATTGCTGTTCACAGCTCATGCAGATCCTGTCTTGTGAAAACAAAAAAAAAGAAAAAAGAATTAATTTTGTTTGCCTGAGAGTTAAAAATGGATAATTACAGCATTCTAACAAGAGTCCAATAAAAAGGGTGCTCTGTGATTTTATAACTTAAATCTACTTATTTTCTCCTTCAGGAAAGCTATGTGTTTTTTTCAATCCACAAGATCTAAAGATCTGATGCTTTGGAAAGTTCAACTAAAACATTCAGGGAATTAACCGAGTGTGACATCCATATCAGAATTTATCCCTTGATCCCTACTTTTGGAATGGGCCCAACCAAATTAAACAGCGTTGCTCTCTGTGAATATAAACTCTGTAATCCTCTTTAGGTTGATTCTCAGTTTCTTGTGCACAATTCTAGGTGCAATAACGTCATTAACTCCTCTGCATGGCATATGCTCTGAAGTAAGTTATGAAGCTTCAGTATGCCAGTAATTGTTTATGTGCCTGTTTCTGCAAAACTGACATCTGATCTGAATAAGAAGGACTTAGACGAATGTCTTCATATTCTGAGACATCCAAATCAGATCCAGCTGCCAGATCACATCAGTTTCTGTATATTACTTCAACCTGTCAGCTAAATCCCAAGTGTTCGATGATTGCAAACTAACTCAGCTGCAAGTTTCACCACTTGTGCTTGATGTTTTGGACACGAGTTAGCTTGTATGATATTAGGTGCAAGACAGCTTTGGGATTTCCTAAGCCAATAGTAGGAGGATCTTGCTGGAGAGCTACTCTCCAGCCATGGAGCAGCTGTGCAAGGCATGCCTCGGTAGGTCAATGATATTGTGTCTGACACAAGCAGCTTTCATAAGGGCTGTGTTTTCTTGGGAAATAGAAGTATGTCTGCCCAAAAGATTTTAATGGTGATAAACTAATTCTAAAAGCAATGGAAAATTTGTAGGTAGAAGAACAAACTTACAGAAGTAATCCCTGACTGATCCAGTGTCTGAAAGTTGTATTCGACCGCGATCTCATCCCCCCCCTGGGGAACCCAGTAGGTCATACAGTCAGAGCGAAACAGGCAAAGCACGCAAAACAACCACTCACAACACAGAGAACCAGCAAACTGCGTGAAAACAATGGGCTACAGCATGAGGTGGAAGGAAGGACAGAACATATTGACACATTTTAACACGTCCGGTGCTCTCCACCTCCCTATTCTGCCTGTCCATGGCTACTACATCCCCGGGGGAGGATCGTACTGGTTTGATTATGATGATTTCCTTCATGTCCCAAATCTCCTGCAGTCTGAAGTCATACTTACTGTCCTCACAGATGGTCCTCAGCTGCTCACTGTTCCTGGGGTAGACAAGGGGAGAAAGTTAAAACGTTTCCAGGGAGGGGTGTGGAATAACTGATTCCTGGATGAAATAGAGCTGAGAAAATTCCCCTCCAGAAATCATGCCTGATCACTTCTGTACTGTAACTCACAGAACATATTTTCAGCGACAGTCAGCCCCAAAGACACACTTGACATTTCTTATGCAGTCATTTTTGGTCTAGAGTCCAAATACGGACTTTTTACAAGTCAGTAATTGTTGTGCCTTGAAACTTTCACCTTTCAGATCCCAGAAGCAAGAACTCTAACACTTGGAAAACACCATCCTAAATAAAAAGGATCTTTGACCCTAGCAGAGCAGAGGTCAAAGGCTGTTTAGGACCTCCCTTTCAGATGATAAAGTATCACCTGTGTATTCTTCTTTGATATTTCTACAGTGCTTTGTAAGACTCCTTCTTAGGTGGTCTTCACTCTGTTTGACCTTGAGATTGTTCTCTGTCTCCCTGGCACAGACTAAGTGTCTGCCTCCCTGTAACTGTCTGCAGTGCGATGCTTGGCTCATATTGGGTTATTGTGAAATTAAAAACCTAGGGGAGAGATAGGCATTATATTACTATACTACCAAGCACTTAGACCTCTGTGATACCTCTTAGGCCTAAAGCACAATTAATTCTTAATTCTGGGGTTTGTTTTGTTCTATTTTCAAATTCTAAGCAGCTGGAGTAGTGTTCCGATGCTTTGCTGCAGACCACAACTGGCTATATTCATTGCTTGAAACTGAGAATTCATGCTTCGCAAGTGAGAATGTGATCACAGAGTGCAGCACAGGATGGTGGAGGAAACCAAACCCAGTGTCATTTTCCTATGCAGCCCACCGTACACTCAATCCCCAGAATGTGCCTGTGTAGCCTCAGGATGAGTCTCATTAGCTGGACCAAGGTTTGCAAGGACACCATCTAGTAGCTGACTAGTGTGGAAGAGCAGTAGTCTGGTTCTTGAGCTCACTGCCTGGAGGTATTTTACTTCACAGGAGGTGCAACCCCAGCTTCTTACTCTCTGTTGAGCTGATCCTTCTTAGGAGCTAGTTCACTGTCCTACAATTCAGACACTGACGAGCCTCCTGCACTGACAGACAGACAGACAGACTGACCTGGGAGCATCCTTCTCATGCACTTTAGCCCAAGAGGCAGGGACTGATCTTGTGGCATGGGCAGCAATACTGCAAGTTTCCTTCTCTTACCGATACTGAGCAGCTTTCACTCCTCTGCCAGACAGGTGGGTGTGAAGCAAGTAGGCAAAGACATGTAGATCTGGAACCAGCATCCCGTTCATCTGCAATTCAAAATTAAGTAGGTCAGAGCCTGTCAGTCAGAGCGCAGCACTATGTTTTAGGTCTGCCCATCAAGTCAAAAGCTTGATGAAATTCATGTAAATGTCACCTTAACATATTTTTTTAAAAGATGTTTAAGGCCATTTCCTTATGTGGGTCATTACTGATTGACAGGTTGCTCTAGTGTTTTTCTGAAAATACATCTTTCTGGCTTTAGGTATTCTGGCACAGTTATATGAGTCTGGTAGCTCATGCTGGGTGCTGTAAGCATATGTTGGTATCAGCTATGTGAAAAACAAAGACAAGACACAGGAGAGGTAATAAGTTAAAAATGCGGATATATGAATTAGTTAAAGGCTGGAACACCTCTGCTATGAAAACAGGCTGAGGGAGTTGAGGTTCAGCCTGGAGAAGAGAAGGCTCTGGGGAGACCTTATAGAGGCTTTTCAGTACTTAAAGGGAACCTGTAAGAAAGATGGGGGAGATCTTTTCAGTAAGGCCTGCTGTGACAGAACAAGAGATAATGGTTTTAAGCAACAAGAGAGTAGATTTAGACTGGAAGAAATAATAAGGAGGAAACTTTTTGCACTGAGGGTGGTGAAACACTGGAACAGGTTGCCCAGAGAGGTGACAGACACTCCATCCCTGAAAGCATTCAAGGTCAGGCTTGTTGGGGCTCTGAGCAACCTGATCTAGTTAAAGATGCCTCTGCTCAATGCAAGGGGGTTGGAATAGGTGACCTCTAAAGATCCCCTCCAACTCAATACATTCTATGATTCTATGTACTCTAAGAAAGACCAGATAATAGAAGGAGTAAAAGGGGCAATTAAAAGAGCTATCAAAATGTAAACCTTAAAAGGTTCAAAGAAAATCTTCAAAAATTTATGCAAAGAAGAAAACCAAGGCTACTGCAGGTCTCATAAGAGGGAGCAAACCTGTAGGTTGCTCAAGGGGAATTGTAGGACTGCGTAAAATTTATGGAATATTCTAAGTGGATTATAGGAATTTACAAAATTTATTATTGGACACTTAAGAGAGAGATCATAATTAGAGAAAGAGAGAAACAAACTTGGGAAAACAAAGAGAAGGAGAGTCTAGTTGTGTGTAAGCAGACAAGTCAGTATGTTTGTCTGACCAAACCTGGCACCTGATCACTGCAATCTAGACTATCTTATTAAACTCTTTTCTGAACTATGTTCTGTGTGAGTGTGCTTTGTATACTGCGTATATGTGTGTGCCTGTGGTTTTGGGGTGAGACAATCCACTAGGGAACTTCAGGCTGGAAAGACACAGGGTCCAGGCCAGAGACTGCGTAAAAGGGCTCTGGATCTGGGCACAGATGCTGAAAGGACTTATGGTCTGGACCAGAAATCAGAGACACCCAAAAGTGTGATTACATATGGGAGCTGAGTGAGCGAGTGTATGGTTATGTTGCTCTAGTGGAGTTTAAGCCTGATTAGCCAGAGAGGAGAAAGAGGACGGGGTCATTCTGCTTTCCATGCTTTTGTAGATGTTGTTCATGTCTGTGTGGTGCCTGTAAAGCTACTGTACTAACCTAAGAGAGAGAGCACCACATCCTCCCAGCCCAGCACCTGCCTTCGTGCACCAGTACCACTCACACCTATGGCAGGTGAAAGGCCTCTTGCATGTGGTGGAACAGAGTCCCTTGGGGGTCTTGGGAAGTCACTGCATCCTTTGGGGTTTGTTTGCCTTTCACTTAGATGCATTGAATGGTGATTCGAGCCATGTTTCTGACATGCTTACACAACTCTGCTAATGCTCTTGAGCATCTGCTGAGTGGTGTTATTAGAACAGATACTCATTTTGCAACATGTGGAAACAGAGGCTAAGATAGCAACCTGCATGAAATGGCTTTTGCACATGTCTAAAGCAAGATGAAAGCCTGAAGTGAGAAGGATCAAGAACAACTTAGTGTGATTTTCCCCACACTCACTTCAACAAACTGGCTGGAATTGCAAAGGCCATAAGATCTGTAGGATTCTGCTCTAGGAGGAACAAAATGCACAAGGAAGGTGAAGAAGCCTGTTTGCAGAACCCTCACATCATATTTCCATAGCTCTGGAGTATGGTACCTGAACTGTTGATCAAGCCTCTAAAAGGAAAAATGACCATTCCTTCAGCAAGGATTCCACAAATGTCAGAACTGATACCTGAAGCAATGACACGTATCATGTCCCTTTCCCCGTCACAGGTTGGGTCCATCGTAACGTACAGCCTTAAAGACCTGCAAGGTGCACACTTGCACAGATCTTAATTCATAGTGCATCTGGATCCAGTCTGGTTCATACTCTCCAGATGATTCCCCTAAAATCACTCCACACTTTCATTTCCTCTTCTTTAAAGTGATACCAAATAATGTAGTGGCATTCTTTATCACCTGCCATAGGGACTGAGTGACGGAGGTCATGGTAGAAGCCTGAGGTGGTATTATTAGGCTCTCAGGACTTAATCCCCACCCTTGGTACACCTGTTTCTCTCACAACCACTCTGTCCCTTCCCACTCTGCTCCTTTTTCGCATGGTGTCCACATTTTCCCCAATGTTTTCCCTAATTCTCCCACTAGTACCATAGCAGGAAGATGTTCCTAGATTTTTGATGGTAAGACATGTCTAATCTAAACAGATAAATAACTATCTATCATTCTAAAGTTCAAGTTCTTCCTGAATAGGAGCCCAGTCCAGTTTTTTCTTGCTGTCGTGAGGGTTGTACCAAGCAATATATGGAAGTGTTTCATACAGAAACTGGTTTCAAATAGGTTTGTAGGTGGGGTTTGAGGCTTCCATCCTGAGGTTGTTCTTTGTCAGACAACTGCCCAGCATTTCTCACCTGGTACCAAGTCAAAATTGCTGTAAAGGATTTCTAGTCAGATGTACTGAAGGTCTCAAGATGTCCCTATGGAAACTGCAGCTTCATCTGGAAATTCATGACTTCTGGAAAAAGGAAGAGGAGGAATATATGAAGTACTTAGTTTTTATCTCTCTTGTTTCTTGATTGGAAATTTGCAAAATTTTTACTTTCTTGAATCTCTGAATATTTATTCGGACATTGTTAGAAGTCAAAATGTTGTGGGAAATCCCAGAAGTTCCATTTATTTTCCTTCCACATTGGAACAAGGAAAAATTTTCAAAATTTATTTTTCATTTATCCTTTTGATTGGTTTTATTTTTATCTGTATGTTATAATTATTAGGAAATTATCATAGTATATGTACACTCTTGCAGCGAATTTCATATCAGCATTGGCACTGCATAATATAAAATGTGAATAAAATTCATAAGGGTTTGTCTAAAACTTGTCTCTTTTCTCTCTCCTTCTCCATGTATATGCATACTATAAAAATACAAAATGCGTTTTGCTCTGAAAGGCACAATATAGATGCTAAAATTTGTGCAGCACTGACTTGTAACTAGGCCAGTGAGTCAGAATCACCAAGTTCACTGAGATTTTAATTTTACTCTTATGCAAAAGAGGCAAAGCCAGTAGGAAAAAATGCAGAAAGTACCTTTCTTTCTGTTATGCAAGACTAGCACAAGAAGAATTTTATTAAATTAATGACAACATTGTCAAAAGTCAGAATGAAAGCTTTAGTACTGTTTAATGCAGATATGATAATAACATACGCACATAGGCAAGAGTATCGACAAATACATAGAAATCACCAGCAGCAGAAGCAGAGTCACACAGAATCACAGAATCACAGGATCACAGAATCACAGAGTGTTAGGGGAGTCAGAGGGGGACAGTATCAGGAAAATTCTCCAATTTGATTGCCCCTGCAAAACTGCAGGGTCTTACCAGGCAAGCTGAAAACAAGGGTACTACTGTTCATACTGATAAATGGAGAAAGGAATGGGCCCCACAGATTCACCTCTCTCCCAACAGCCCAGCCCACAAGAACCTGAGAGCACTAATCTGAGGGTAAAATCTGAGTTGGCTCCATAGCAATCATCTGTGCCACTGGGCAACACGCCAGAGCTGCCGCAGGCATAAACAAGAATGTGATGAACCAAGGTGATGTTGTGGGGTGTTAGTACAGGTTCGAACTGAAACCAAGAGAAAGAGTCAGAGAAAGTTATTGACAACCCTAAAATATTTCTTTCCCAGTCAACCAGAAAGAGCAGTTAGCCATATTTTAGGCAAACGGATATCCGATTCACAAAATGAATGGTAAACTGGATGATGGTTTATTTACTTATTTCAAGATGTGTCCGGCAGAGTCCGCTTTTCCAGAAAGGATTTGCATCTTCCTTTAAAGCACCTCCCCTTAATCAGAATCACAGTGGTGTCTATTTGACCTATTACACTGGGAAGTGTGTTTAAAAATAGTTTATAAATAGGTTGGAAATAGTTTACCTCATAAACCATTTTCTTGGAGGCAAAGCAAGATAAGGGACGCTGACCTCAGGTTCACTGTAATTCACTGGTCCCTCAGTGGCACCAAAAGTACTATAATCAAAATAATTTGAAATAAACCCTGCAAATGGTTTAAAAAAGTTAATTAATCACTGAACATTTTACCAGCACTGATGAGATCAGGCCTCCAAATCCTAATATTACCACAAGAACTGACTAAAACTGCTGATATTGTTCTGTAGGATTACCTGTTAAAATTTTCTTTGCAGTCTATTCTAAGTCTTCCTGATGAAATTTTGCCTCAGGCCATTGCAGGGGAACATCTACTTTTAAGCCCTCAAAACCCACAAAACTAAGAAGGGTTGTTTGACTCTGAAGCAGAGTTATCTTAGTTTGAGAAGTAAGCTAAGTTTGCTGTGGAAAATTCCTGTTTCTTTTCTTTGCTTTTCACTTTTGCATATTCGGTCTTGAAAACAGGAAGGCAAAAATGTTAGTTTTGCTTTTTATACAAATATTCTTAGCAATCTCCAAGGACAAAAAAAAGTCCTTTCAATATCAAAAATTCTGGAGGTTCTCTTTGCTCTCTAAGATACTGAAAGGGAACATGACCTGAGCTTACTACACTGAGACATCAAACCTGTAGTAAGGTTTCTTCTGGTGTGATGTACATAAAGACAAAGATACTTCCAAAGCTAGAAACAAGACAGAGCTTATCTCCACACAAGCCAAACAAATTAGCTGGCTCATCCTCAGTGAAGAACATATGGAATGCTCCCAAATTTACACCAAAATGCTGTAAATGACTGAGTCTGTCCAATCCTGGTTTTCCCCAGTAAGGCAGCCTGACAGCTTACCTTGTAGTTGTGGTGTTTCTGCGTGACAGTGGGCAGTGAGATAAAGGTACAGGCATACTTGGTTTCTTCAGCTGGAACAGCAAACTCGAAAACAAACACATATTACTCAGCTGAAGGTTTCCTTGGGAACTCAGTAATGTTCACGGGGAGTTGCAGAAGCCAAAGGAAGGTAGCGCAAGAAGAATGGGACCCAGAACAAGATGGGGGCAGAAGGATGATGCATTTAGCTTGGTTTTTGATTGCAGTGAATGAGGGGATTAAAGGCTCAATAAGATGAAACTGTATTCTAGTGAAGGGTGAATACATTTGTCAGCTCCACCAGGTCTTAAGTTCCTCTTCTTTCAGATTTTTTTTTTTTTCCCAAAAGGGAATAACGTTATTAATTTGCCTGTTGGAATATGAACTGAGCATAGGAAATGTCCATCCAGCTTGAGCAACATTTTTTAATTGCTGGTTTTCTGGAGTTAAAAGCACAATGCATGATGGCACTAATCCCACAAGTCTTCACATAAAAATAGTGCTCCTCTTTACTATGGAATGTTGCCCACGCTGATCAGCAGATTCTGATGTGTCTTGAGCGAGTGCTGACTGTGTGGGCTGATGAAAGAAGGAAAGTGTTAATGCAACGCCACGTTGAGCTGGTACTTTTGGACTCCAGTTTGACAAGGGTGGTGTATATACCACAAGGTGTTGCTAATGGGGGCTCCAGCTCTCCTGGCAAATCCTTACATCTGACATGGAGGTGCTGCCTAAGTTAATGCTGGAGGAAGCACAAACAGTTGTGTGCACTGCATTTCCTGAGCTCTTAGCCAAACTTGTCCCAGAGCATTTAAATGTATGTCCATTATTTCTCTTCTCTGTGATATTGTGTAGTTCCCATGAAACTAAGATGTGAAGCAGTAAATATCCTCAGTGTATTATTGGAATTTTTATATGGGTCTATGTGGATGGGACAATAGACCTGTATACATATATGCCTGAGTTAATAATTGCAGTTCAGTAGCACCACAGTTTGTGTTTGGCTCCCTAAACTCTAGTCAGGGGAGCAGGCAACACCTTACAGCATTTTCCTAACAAATAAACCCTTTACCACCCACACAGCAAGTCTTCCACTCCCACTTCATTCCTACTCTTGCTAATTCTGTTTGCATGTTTCTAAGATCAGCCATGTCCATCTATTGACCTGTGCAATCCAAACCTCCAACATGGGCATGATCAACTTTGCAAAGGCAGAAGGAGGGGAAGATTTTAACATGCCAAGTGCAGTTCTTGTTCAATACTTACGTTGTCCAACCTCAGGTCATAGGTGAAGAATATTTTGGGATCAGTTGAGTCAGATGGGGCTCTATCTCATCAAGAAAAGAGATTTGGAAAATCTTTGGCCTTTGGCTTGTGTTCACCTGTAACTGGAAAATCAAATCTCTTTCATTCCTTTCCATCAACCACACACATTTATTCATGCTACATCACATACCTTATACCACTGCACACCTGTTAAAACACAGTTCACATACTAACCATATGCAATTAGAAGTTACTTAAAATAATGCACCTATGTGTATTTGATACATACCCAGACACTCAGACAATGTGTCTAAGCACATGACAGAAAGTCAGCAGTTTAACACATAAGATTTGTCTTGTCCAGACAGAGACATAATGGCTTTTTCACCAAAGAGATGGTGTTGTCTAAAAAAGACACAAGGGAAGCTGTACCCACTGTCATTTCACACACATAATTAAAGCATGCATGGGTTTTAAAGTTATGGTATATGAAATGAAAGCAAGCTGGAAGAAAAGCTGTGAGGAGTTTGATAAATATTTCAGAACCTACATCACGTTGTGTTTAAATGTTCAATTACAGAGTGCCTGGATTCTGTTATAGCCGTGGGAGCTGTACAATGGTGCTAAAGATCAGATTTTCAGATCTTTAGAGTAAGCAGATGCAGTTCACTTATCTCTATACACTGTTGATGCATTTCCAGCAATTTTAAGAAGAAATTACTAAGGGACCCCCACAAAAAGCTAATAAAACTGCAGGCCCCTTATTCCCCATTGGTGGCCACTCCTGAGCATGAATGCACTCAATGATCTGCCTGGATCCACCCCATCATGTCAGGACAGCAGCAGCCATGAAAGTCTGTAGGTTCTTCATATTCGAGATGGGATTATAGTACTTTCAGTAAGTAAAAGTCATTGAGATTTCTGAGTACAAAGGCATCTAACCAGGCATTTGAACTGTAGAGAAATGGTGAATGTACACCTCATTCTCGACAAATATTTCTGAGTGGGCTAAGCCTTGAATAATGCTGATTTACCCAGAGATCCCCCAAGTAAGGGCAAAATGGTGTAAAAAGTGTATGTATATGCAGAGTTCTGAAATTGTGTGCATTTTTACACTTGAGAACCTTGGCAAAGACTACTTTTGAAAAATCTCTGGCTTAAAATACCAGTTTGGGTTGGCTAAGATTTTAATATCAGTCAATATCAATATGAAGCTCTTCCAAAAGAGAAGGACTGAGATTATTAAAATATTCTGGATTTGCTAAACACAATTCTAACAAAAAAAAATGCCTTATATTAGGCAAATAAAAATTTTATCTCCCACATTACGTGTAAACGAGGAAAACATATGTGATGACTGTAAGGGGAAGAAACATCTTGAAATATACACCACAAACCACATACAATCCTCATGGGATAAAAGGGTAGCAAGGACCATTTGGCACACCTTTTCTTCTGCAGGTTACTTTATGCTTCATGTGTTGCGAACAGTGGGAGCAACGGGATGGCTTGTGTCTCAGAAGGTGTTGTCTCTACTTTGGCTGGCCATTCTTTCTCCAGATAGGGCAGCTTCTTGCATGTTCAGGTTGCTTAGAACTGCATGGTATCAACTTGTTACTCTGGTGTCTTTACTCAAGGTCTTTCTTCTAAGAAGGTGCCTTCCAAAGATCCTCAAACTGTTACCATTCCTTATCCCACTCCTGTTTCTACTAGGTCTATGATTCTGGGAGTTCAATAGCTTCATTTCCTTATTACCTTCATTGAACTGGACAAGAATTGATAGAATACAGAACTCCCACGCTACGTTTTGTATGTGGCAAACAAGAGAGAGAGACAGAGAAATAAGCAGGATTTTCAAGAGCTGTGCTCAAGCTTAAGAAAATGTTGATATCTCCCAATGGCTCTTTGATCAGAACCATTATAAGAAAACATCTATGACATCAAAATAGTGCCCTTAAAATGAGCGCTATAAATGTGGCTGTATGATTCCATATTTTTCTTTATATTCGTGTTATTGTACTGTTGTGAGAAAAGACTGTCTTTCTCAAATCTGATCTGGGGTATCAGGGAATACAGTGGGATGTGAGAACAGGTTTGTCTGGGATGTTACTTGAACAATCCCCTTTCTTAATGTGATATCCAGGTCATTTGGGTCACATGTCCAGAGGTGACATTTGAACAGCATGGTGGTGGATGTCTCGTTCTCTGTCACTGACAGCAGTTGGTAGTCCTGGCTTTCATCTTCCTCATCTACCACATGACAGTAATGAAAAAGGAACAGCGGTCAGAGCAGTAGGGAAAAGAGGTTCCTACTCTCCAAGAAGTCATGTTTCCAAATATGGCTGGTGGGATCTGGGTAATTATCAGAACATTTCATTCTACAAAAAGCTCCTCTGCTTTCACTGGTGATTTCCACCAAACAATTGAAAAGACCTTATATCCAGCCTCTGCAATATCCATCTGCTCAAAGAAAGAGCAGCCTCTGGGTCACATCACCCAGAGGATGGACTGCGTAGGATGGAAACTAGAGGATCTTCCCTGCTGCTTGAGTTAGTGACCTGCTGCACACTGGGGCATTTTAGTACATCTGGCTCAACCACACAGGATAGGAAATAAAATAAGTTCTGTTGAAAAACAAAGGTAGTTCAAAAATAAAATATTTCAGACGTGCCAAGGTCTCTGCTTTAAGTCTCAGGTTTTCCATACTACCTGGAACCTGGGCCCGGTTGCAGATGCTAAGCTCTCCTGGAATCTACAAGCTAACTAATGGCTTTAGCAGCATAGACATAGTGAAAAGCACAAATAATGTGTTACTGAGGTCATCAGATGAAATTGTTACTCCTTTAAGGGCAAAGAAACATGAGGCAAAGTTTGAAAAGCATCTAGTTGTCCAATTTCCGTGGAAATCTCTCTGGGAGCAGAATGGGCCATGGTAACTGCTGCTATGAGATCTACTACTATGAACTGAGACATAATAAAGCAAACATCTCCCTCATGTACAGCTGTTAAGTGCTACACTGAAAAATGTTACTTCACTACTCAACTTCAGAGGGATAAAAGAGAAGACAAAATCTTTAACAGACGATAGTCTGGTCAAGAAAGAATATTTTCATGCAAAGTCCTTCCTGGTATTTTTTCCTCCTGTCTCTGTTTCTTTAAGTCATTATTTCAAAATTTCCTTACAGCTTTTGCCAAATCTCCAAGTATCTCCTCTAACATTCTTTCTTCTTCTTGAATTTGTCTATGGTTTTGGACTTTCAGAATACTCTAAGCAATTTTTCTCTAACCCATATGCTCAATTTACACATCATAGTTTGAAAATACAACTTTTGCTTTCCTACTGTTTTGAAATACCTGTTGCACTCTTTCATTAAAAGATCTAAATTCAAAGATAATGCAGATGAGCTGCTTGGAAATCAATAAAACATTTAAAATTAAATATACCATATGAAAGAGGAAGGCTGAAAATCAACTGGAAATCCCATACCTTTGTGAAAACAAGCCTTTTGGGCTAGTTTTTTGCCTGTTGAATATTACTTAGATAAATAGAATCACAGAAAGTTAGGGGTTGGAAGGGAACTGTGGAGATCATCTAGTTCAACCTCCCTGACAGAGCAGGGTCATCTAGGGCAGGTCACACAGGAACACATCCAGGCAGGTTTTGAAAGTCTCCAGAGAAGGAGACTCCACAATCTCTCTGGGCAGCCTATTCCAGGAAAGTTCCTCCTCATGTCTAGACTGAACTTCCTATGTCCAAGTTTGTTATGTCTTGTCCTGTCACTGGCTTCCACTGAAAAGAGACTGGCCTCATCTTCCTGACACCCACCCTTTAAGTATTTATAAGCATTGGTAAGATCCCTCCTCCATCCTCTCTTCTGCGGAGTAAAAAGCCCCAAGTGCTTCAGCTTTTCTTCATAATGACTTTGTTATGGCTGTAATAAAGAGCAAAATTAAAACAAAAATCAAGGATGCAAGAGAGAGAGGGCTAGATGGAAGACTGCAAATGGAAAACCCCACTTAAACTCCATTTACAGCAACATATTTTTTCTTTAAACTCTCTTTTCCAAAGGTTAAGTAGATATGCTTTACAGCCAATTGAGAAAATGTGTAATTTTTTGGTCATTAATATGTTTGCTTACTGGAATTTCTCTAGACCTACATAACTGGGACATATTTTCTGATATGTAAAAGAGTTTAAGAAACCTAAAACTTCTGTGGGACCAAAATTATTTTCTAATATAAAGAGTTTTGGCTACCGATGCACAAAAACTTTGAAAATCTGTTTTGAAAATAATTCAAGGTTTAGTATTTTTGAAACCAAACTCTTTAATTTTCCCTTTCAGGAAGTTCTTTTATGAGAAATTAAATATTTTGCATTTACCCCAAATCATTGAAAAAAAAAAAGAACAAGTGTTTCTTCTGAATTGATGGTAGTTCTTTTCCTCGTTGTCATTCACAAGTTAAAATGCCATGTCTGTGTCACAGTCACAAAAGTATTTCAAAACTATCATAAGAATGGTTTCTCAACCAACTAATGATGATAAGTAAGGCTAGCTACTTCACCCCCTCCAAAGTTTATCAATTTTAAACAGGAACCAAAACATATTTCACGCAAAACACATTTTACTCTTGTGTGAAACAGGAACTGAAAACAGCTGAACAAAATAAACCACTGTGACTGGAAAACATTTCATCAGTGTAAACTCTTTTTCTTTCTGTATCTGAATAATGTCAAGCTGTTTGTTTCTCTTTCACAGTTAAAACAAAACAACACCCTATTTTTTTTTATTTAGCAATCTCAGTGGTGATTTGTTCCTCTAAACTCCAGCTGTTTTCATGTTAGGCATCTATCTTCAGTATTTGCCATTACAGATGATGGAAAAAACAGCAAGACCCAATGATACTCTATCGTATTCCTAAGGGAGACATTTAAGACCATCAGGAAGAAACACTTAATGAAGGTGAACGTGTCTCCTCTTACTACAGAGGAAACCAAGTGAATTAACCTTTGAAGAGCTTCAGTGAGAGAAAACACGGAAACTTCACATCTGACTCCTGTCTGAACTGACCTTTATTTTGGATGAATCAGAAGTTACACTCCCAGCAGCCTCTTCTAGCATCCTGGTCAGTAATTGCTTCAGTCCTACCTAACTGGTTCTGTCTGTGGTTTTGACTGGCTGATGGGATCAGTTTATTTGCTAAAAGAACATCATCTGGTGTCATCTGGGATACCATAGGGTATCTCAAGTAGCTGCACGCAGCTAGCAGGCATGGCATAGGACCCGTAGAAGACCTGACCTCTTCTGGACTGTCAGTCAGAGGCCATGCCAGGTAATGATCTCAAATGGCCTCAGACATCTATCTTTAGCCAGTTGAACCCATGTGCTTTCAAGCCATGGCAAAGGGGGATGCAGAGGAAGTCTTTTTGACTTACAGAGAAGTAGATGCTCCCATCTGAGAAGACATCTCCTATCACAATGTCAGATCCAGGCAACTCTCCATGAGGGCTGAATCCAAATGCCACCCAGCCAGTTGTATGGACCTGCAGCTCAAACATCTTCAGCTTCTGTTTGTCGTGGTCCCAGCGGAGGTAGACTGTGTGTGAAGGATCTAGAAAGATGGTGAAACACAGCAGTGGAGGTGCAGGCTGTCCTGAACAAAAGTGTGGGAGGAACAAGAGGAAGAACATACCCTTGGTTCTTGAGAAAAGTACTGCCATCCTCAGCAGGACCACTGCAGTTTCTGAGTCTTGCTGACACCTTGGGCAGATATTCTGCTATGATGGGCCCAGTTTATATGGAAGTGCATGAGACTGGGCCTGTTGCCAGAAAGGAGGAGTGGAAACTGACTGTTCTATATCCAATTTAACACGTAGGAAAGATCAACATTTTACATAATATGCCCTGGCACCCTGCCTAGGTGAAACCATAATAGGCCAACTCATGTACATCTTAAAACATTTTTAATAGCTATTTTGTACTACGCAACTGAAAAAAGCTGCAAAGTGTTTACCTCCTACCCAGTCCTCCTCGGGGTGGGTGAATGCTGTCTCTTTATACCAAGGAAAAGGACCTCTTCTGAGTAACTTACCTTTCTGTTGCAAATGCTGAAGTGAACCCTGGACTATGCCATCCTATTGTCTGGTGTGATGATTATTGACAAGTTTGCTGGTAATGAGCTGGGGAGTCTTAATGGTATGGCTTATCAGAGGAAGCTGCTGTGGCACACAAAAAGGACTCCTTAGGGAGGTGATTGTGCCCCTGTACTCAGCAGTGGTGAGGCCACACTTTAATTATTGTGTCCAGTTTTGGGCACCTCAGTACAAGAGAAATATCAAAGTGCTGGAGCAAGTGCAAAGCGGGGCAATGAAGCTGGTGAAGGGCCTGGAGAATAAATCTTATGAAGAGAGATTGAAGGAGCTGGGGCTGTTTAGTTTGAAAAAGAGGAGGCCAAGGGGAGACCTCATCGCTCTCTACAACTACCTGGAAGGACGTTGTAGAGAGGTTCGTGCTGGTCTCTTCTCACAGGTAATCAGCAATAGAACAAGAGAGAATGCCTTCAACTGCAACAGGGTAGGTTTAGACTAGACATTAGGAAAAAAATTTTTCACAGAAAGAGTAGTCAGATATTGGAATAGGCTGCCCAGGGAGGTGATTGAGTAACCATCCCTGGATGTGTTTAAAGGTCGTTTAGATGTGTGTGGAGAAGCATGGACGAACTCCAAGATGGTGGAGAATGGAATCCGCTTTATTGTGAGCAGGCACACATATTTAACTTATTAGCAAGAAGCAGTATTTGTGAGTTACAAACAGGAGACCAGGCTATGTAGCCAAGGTTGTTATTAGCTCAGGTATTTTTTCAGTCACTCTCTTATCACACAGGGAGAACAGACTTTCCCGGGTCTGTTTTGATCATACGCTCCCGTTCACTCCCATGCACATCTGGTGTACGAGAAGCCTCTTATCTGTCCATTCTCACAGACAAACTCCTAACATGAGCTATACTCGGCTGGTCAGTGTCTGTTTTCATTATTAGCAAGCAAGAGATACATACTTGTTTAGAAAAAAGCTCAAGGACAAGTATTTTAATTTTGCAAGGCAGTGCTGCCGGCACATCTAATTGTAAAATGCAGGGTATCCACAGATGTGGTGTTGGGAGATATGGTTTAGGGGTGAGCTTTGCAGAGTAGAGTTAATGGTTGGACTCAATGATCCCAAGGGTCTTTTCCACCCTGAATGATTTTATGATTCCTGTGGTAGCAATCTGGACTGCAGAGCAACAGTAGAACAAGGAAAAAGCCTTTGTTACATGCACTATACCCTGGTGGGAGTGAGTGGAAGAAGAAAAGGGCATCGTCTGTTGCCCTGCCTAAGACCTTTCAGTGCAACAACATAAAACCCAGAGTTTCCAACCAGTTCTGCTAGGAAGTGCCGTGTGCATCTCGTCTCCAATTTGTCCAGTTGCGTAATCCACCACAAAACATAGCCCAGGTCTGTGGATTTTGAAGAACATGGTAGTTCATTCCTATTTACTTGCTAGGAATGCCTAGAAAAGCCCATTTGTATTAATCTGTTGAGACAAGTGCTCACAGAACAGATGAGTAACAGAGGAGAAATATCTAATCTGATCTTCAAGGACAGGGCTTAAACAGATCACATTGCATATAGATTGCTTGAATCCCAAGTTACGTTGTCAACAGTCCTGCTGTAGACAGCACATGGTTTCTATTTTGAATTAGGTAACTAACATAATGCCAACAGTTTAATTTTTTTCTGCTCCAGAAAGGCTTAAGACACTGTTCTGGGGGAACTAGGCAGTGCTAAGGGATATAGTAATGCTAGGTGAGCGTTTCAAGGCTAAAGCAGCACTTAGATATCAAAAGTGAGGGACTCTTCAGCCCCTCTGCGGGGAGAACCAAAGGTGGAGTTAATGACAAAGTGTGAAGGAAAAAAGGGAAGGGAATCTGTCTGGGTTCATTGGGGTGCTTTGCAGAGCTGCTGGTGTGAGAAATTTTCACTGTTGCTAGTTCTCCACTCTTTTAAGCAGAAAATCCCTTTCTCACAGTGGGGGAAGCATGAGGTTAGGGGATGCAATTGAGACACTGCTGGAAGATGTGACTATATCAGGATTACAAGGAGGGATGGTTTAGATGTGTGACAAAGATTAGAACTGCGTGGTTTTTTGATAGAGCAGGATGTGGTGTTTGCATCCCACTGCTGAGGGGTGTGGAAGAGATATCCAGGAACAGGAAGATAACGCAAATCAGCAGTGCGCAACATGCTAAAGAAGATTATGAAATTATAGATGACCTGAAAAAGGAAAGAAGATAAAAACGGCTTCCTTTAAAAGACTAAGTGCTCTTAGAGGAGCCAAATGTGAAAAGAAAGAGGAGAGTCAGAACCAGAGGGTGCAGCAGCACCTCTGACGATCTGCCTCAGGCAGTGGCAAAGACACATCGAGAGAAGAAGAAAGCAGTGATGTTTCAATGAGTTTTCTATTCGGAGATTACAATGATGAACAAACTCGGGAGATGAAGAAGAATGAAATTGCTGTGCTCAGTACTTTTTTGAAATGACCCTGAAGGTTCCACTGCCAAAACCCTTTGCTGGCAGCACACACATCCCCAACACAGAGCGAACTCCAACCCCCACATCTCCTCAGTTCAACAAGCCCCTGTTGCAGTGCAAGGGTAGGAAGCATAGGATTCCTGTTAGAGCCAGTTGAAGCAATATGTCAGTACTTCATTTCACAGTATTTGACCTTCTGTTGAGGTTTTTTAACACCTTTACTTGCACTTTTAGGCCATTTTTTTAACAAAATAGTTAAAAAAATAGTCACATTGTCTTGTTTTGGAAATGCGGAAAGAAGTGCAACTTTCACCTTAAAGACAGCAAGCTGTCAAAATTGAAAATCCAGTCAAAAGGATTTGTTTAGGTTGCCTTCATGATTAGTGGCAGAGGGAACCTAGACTAACTTAGAACAAACAACTATTTTGTAAATTACTTAAATGTCTTGGAACGAATCCAAAATGTAGCACTTCTTTACCCTTTAAATTTCCTCTCATTTTTTAAATTCACTTATTTCACTTTAATTCACTTATTTCAATACATTCAGTTCAAATCCCCCCCAAACCCAAACTTTATCTGAAAAACCTCAAAATCTTGCTGAAGATTTTTATGGGATTTTAGGAAAGGATTTTGTTTGAGAGTAACATACCTGGATATATAGGGGACTAAGCATATACAGATGCATCCCTACTCATAGGCTGTCAGTGAAGCCCTGAATTAGGAGACTTAATTCAGTTCCCACAAAGAGGGGTTTAGCGCCACTTGAGATGCCCACTTGTATTTCACCTGGCCTCACCTGCTGCTCCAGGAGGGCACAGATTTCCTTCTGTACCTGTCTCATCTCTGTCAGCTCTGTGTGGGTATCTTCGGTCATTAGGCCATCCAAAATAGCCATTTGTGTGTGTGTGTTAAGACAAGAGACTTATGCCTGCAGTGATAATAAAAAGGCTAGACAGTAGAATTATATCTTCTCAAAATAAGGGACTAATGAGGGAGAAAGGCAGCATTTTAAAGCCAGCCATTTCTGGCACTGTTCATGAGTAAGGATAGTTAAAGGAAATCTACCTCTAATAATGTTGACACTTCTGCTGTGATGGTGATAGGAACAAAACTAAATACTGCTGTTTAAAATGGTTTAAATCACCATTTTCTGACTTATTCTTTCATTTTATCAAGGTGTTAAGCACCACTGCTCTGCTCAGACTTAAATTAAAGTTTACTGTTTTCTTCACTTTTTTTTGTGGTTGATGTTTTTTTTGGAAGTATGGAAATTATGGAAATATACTGTATTTTGGCTTGGAGCAAAATGATATGAAGACCATTGCCTGTTAGACAGTAAAGGGAACAACAGTAAAAGCATTCATTTTGGTCACTTATTTTTCAAATGAAATATTTCTCTAAAAAATGTGGACTTAATGAAAACACAGCTTTTCACATTGACACACCACACTCACAACATTTTGTCAGGGATAATTCAAAGTGGAATTAGGGACTGAAAGAAAGAAAAAAAACCAATTGCTCAAATGAGGTAATAGTCAAGGACCTTTGGTAGATTGATATCCAGCCTCTGGACCATGTGTTTGGAACAAGGCTTGAAGCTAGCTGCATCTTGTATCTGAAGTCAATACAGAATATTTTGCCATCAGTTCATTATCCTTCTTTGAACGCTCTTATCTGTATTACACAAGGGAACATAAAAGGAGGATATTAATGAAAGACAAGTGAAAGGAGAGTGGCAAAGGGAATGTCCTAGGTGAAAATGAATGAGGTGTAATCGCTGGCAAGAAGCACTAGAATGGTAGTGGGGGAATCAAAGTTGTCGAGCTAGAATAAGTACAGGCAGCTTGGCTCTTTGCCTCGTGCCCCGAATAGGGTTTGCAAACTTGTTACAGTGCTTGTAATAATTACGATATATCCTATTCTCTGAACAAGACATATTGGTACAGTGTGAGTGTGTAGATTAGTGGTGTATTAGCTTATCTGCTGAAATCAGGACACGCAAGGCTGCATTTGAGCATTCACTAGCTTCACTTCCCATTTCTCAACAGTTCAGCTTTTAAGTATGACAAATACTGCTTGTCCTTCCAATCTCTCTCCTTCCCAATGACTGTGCCCTCTAGAAGGCCTTAGGACAATGTGGGACTACTTTCATTTGGGAAATGCATTGTGTTGCATTGTATTGCACTATGAGCTACTGCAGTTTAAATATTGTTAAACGTTAACACGTTGTATGATATGTTGCTTGCTCTTTGGAGTAAAATTAACCAGCATATTTAAAAATTACTGAAGACTGATAACCCAGACTGATACTCAAACCGAGTGGTAACTTGAACTTCTATTAACCAGGCTAAAGTATCCTTGCAGTCAGGATGACTCTCTACATAGTCATTTTGCTCATAGACTTGTCATTTCAAAGACAAGAGCACTGGAAAGGACAGAAGGTCAAAGATGACCAGTTCCCAGGCTGAAGATTGTTTTCACTTTGTTTTCACTTTATTTTCACTCACATAACAAATAGGAGGACACAAAAACACCTACAGCCACAGAAATTTATGCCTGCTGATAAATCCTTTCTCTGTAGACCAGGAATAATCAGGAGGATCTCTGCTTCTGGATGTAACAGAGCTGGCCAGGAAGCTGGCCATGCTCCAGGAGGTAGGACCCATCTACATCCTAAACAAACACAGGATTCCTCTAAAAAACCTCTTGATTATATTTGCTTGTTTCTTCCTAGCAGAAGCAACAATTCAGTCAATGGTCAACCTTTTGGATGTGAAGAACTACCAGTTCTTGTGAGCCTAAATGATCAAGAATGACTGTAACACCTTTTTTTTTTTAATTTGTTTTATTGTGCAATCTAGTTCCCTGTGTATAATCTGCATTATGTCCATACCATACAGTGCAGTGGCATGTGGATACTGGTGCTGACACAAAAAAGCTGCAGTCAAGTAAAAGACAAGACTGGGTGTTTTGCTGGAAATAATTCTTAGTGCTTTGTCTATTCAACACTCCTGTTAAACAAGTGATTGGTTCTCATAGCATGCAAGTTAAGACCCTCGGAGCACAAGGTCACAGAGCTGACAATTAGGAAAAGAATAATTCTAAGAGCTTAAATCTCCTCAGATTTTCCCTACCACAAATTACTTAATTCTTCAATTCATTGGGTCTACCAATGATTTTACTGTGGCAATACTGCTTTAAGAAAAAAATAAAATAACAATCTGGAAATGTGACCAATCTCTGCCAAGTCTCTCTGAGGACTGAAAAATTCAAATGGCTTTAATCCATCCACTATGACAACCATTAAAGTTTTGATAAATAGAGAAAAGCCAGTATTACAAATAATTTATACTCCTGGTTAGCACCTTGCCCCAGGGAGATGTTCCTTGCTTATTCACACAGATGTTACAGGAGTCACAGCATGTTATGTGTACGTTGTCCATCATGAAATAAAAGCAGTGCAACCAAGGGCAAGGGGGAGCAAGCTGCAAAATCTCTGCTTTAAATTTCTTGTATTTTTTTTCTGGGAGCTTCTTAGCTGCATTAATTGAATGAAATACTTGCTAAACTCATTTTTTTTTTTAAGTGTGGTACAGACATACTGCTGCACTCTTGTGGCTCAGCTCTACGCTTACATAACATAGGGTACTTTTATTAGCTATTTGTGTTGGGGTACAATCTTGAAGCTCTCTGTTCCCAGGTAGAGATACAATGTTCTGTATATAAACAGGGACCTCATTACTATTGCACATTGTTCTGTGAGATGTACTTGGTGGACTTACTGCTCTTGGAAGGGGGTGGGGGCGTTAAAGAAAAGCCTTTAGGGATCCATTCAAAATTGAATACAGGCAAACTGTAATGACAGTAGATGGCATTGAAACATTAACAAAGGATCCTAAACCAGTATTTAGACAACACCTTGTGACCTCTGTGTACCTCTGTGTTACATGAAGTGGGATTGTGGGGTTTCAAGGTGGTTGCAGATGATATCTTTATTGACTCTGAATAGAAGAACTAACTTCAGGATGCAACATGAGGAAGACTTAGAGACTTACAATTAAGATCCTTGTGGTCTGGGCTGGGCTCTGGCAACAACTGTGCATTTGACTTATAGCAGTTATACTTAGGCAGCCTCCTAGAAGGGGTGGTGAAGTGCAATTATTGCAAAATGCATTCAATTCCAGAAAAGCTGCATGACTAGGGGTGTGCATGATCTTTTTTTTTTTTTTACAGACATTTTCTTAATGAGGTTTCAAAGACAGAAGTGTAAAAGCTTCTTCACTGAGCCTTCATGTTCTCACATCTTGACTTCCCAAAGATTTTTGCCCAACACCCTCTAAATACCTACTGTTGCAACAGTGCTGGTTTCTGCAACTTTCCTTTTACATAGCTTTCCTTTTACACAACTTCCCAGAACTTCTCTATACCACAATGCCTTCTTTAGCTTTACACCCCAAATCACCTGTTTCCACTGTAACTCCAGCTCTTCCTATGTCCTATCACCCCTAATTGCTTTTATTTGGCCGAGCTCCTGGTCAAGGAGCAGCATATCCTTACGGTGACACAGAAACACGCAAGTGCTCCCTGGGCAGCCAGTGCAATCAGGCTGCTTGGTGGGACAGCAGAACTCACCATAGCCACATTCTCCTGCCTTTCCTTCATGGGAAACACTAGTAGGGTCTCACTCCTCTGTCAACTGTAGCATACAGAAGCAAATACTTTTGAGCTGTCCCTCTGTCCCTCAGCTAAATCTGTTAACAAGTTGAAAAGCTAAGGGAGAAAGAGGACACCAACTGGAAGTTAGGCAGACCAATGTGCAAAGATGGACAAGGAAGCAGCCACCATGTTTTCTTGGGAGATGTGGTTAAAAAATGACACTACTTCATATAGAAACAAAATGTGATGCATGGTTTGGGCTTTTGAATTAAATGAATTGATCTCTCAGCACTTATTTTTTTTATGAGTCTGCGTCATTACCATCTGTGGGTGGCTCAAGCAAAGTGGGAGTCAGAGAATTCTTAACAATTTGAAGCTTATCGTCTTACAGCACAGAGATGAAGATGCTACCTGTTACTGATGGATCCACTTGCTTCTGCAGAGGAACATAAAAGCAGTGATCATATCTAAGGGCTATACATTTCTGGCAAGTCATAACTATTTATTTCTGTCATCTCTGAAAAAAATCCAATGGTTATCTGAAAGAGCCTGTGTTAGGAAAGATTCTGAAGATGGAAATCGCTGTGGAGGCTGAAGGAATTAAAAAAGAACAGCAGGTCAGCAAGGAAGGGAAGACAGGAGATACATGGCAGCCAGCTAGCTACAGTGAAATGCCTTCCATCTGCCTTCTGTGAAAAGGTACATTATCAAACTGCATTGCAGTCTCAGGTGGCTTTGTCACTTTTCTCTCAATATTAAATGCCTTCAAAAACCCACGAGCATATGCCTTGAGAAGTAACATGATGCTGCTTACTACAAAAAGTTATCGAAATACATTGTGAAGAAAATGCAGGTCCAACACACAAGCCCATATATCAAGTGAAGTTTACAGTTTCATTAGGACTAAGAAATACTATCCAGATCAACTTGGTGTAATTGACCCTGAACTTTGCCTCTGAGGTAGTGCAGACAAATATATAAATGCACAAGTGTGATAAGACAGATATTTTAACTTGGAGCCACCTAAGAAATCAAGTGAATATAGCAAAATAGAGATGGAGAAAGAGCAGCAACTGAATCAAAACAGTACAAATTATACTTCCAAGGGCATAAGAATCTGACCTTTTATGTTATGTGGCATCAGGGTAGGTACTTTTGCTGTCCTTAGTCTACATTGAACCCTTACACTTAAACATTAACTCTTTGCTCCTTATTTTC